CGACCAACAGCCAACGGCCAACAACCAACGACCAACCACCAACCACCAACTACCAGCAACCAACGACCAACAACCAACGACCAACCACCAACGACCAACAACGACCAACAACGACATCAACAGCAGCAGCAGCAACAACAGCAACAGCAACAACCACAACCACAACCACAACACTAGTCACAACCACAACCACAACCACAACACCAGCAACAACAACAACAACAGCAACAACAGCAACACCCAACAGCCAACAGCCAACAGCCAACAGGCAACAGCAACCAACAACAACCACCAACAACTAAAAAACAAAAACCAGCAGCCAACAACCAACACCACCACCACCGCCACCACCACCAACAACAACAACAAGAAGAAAAACAACAAGAACAACAACAGCCACAGCCACAGCCACAACCACAACACTAATCACAACCGCATCTGCAACCACAACACCAGCAACAACAACAACAACAGCAACAACAGCAACAACGAACAACCAACAACCAACAACCAACAACCAACAACAACAACAACAACAGCAGCAACAACAAAAACATCAAAAACACCAACAGCAGCAACAGCAGCAACAGCAGCAGCAGCAACAAGAGCAACAACAACAACAACAACAACAGCAACAATTGCAACAACAGCAACAACAACCGCAGCGACAGCGACAACGACAACGACGACGAACACGAACTATCATGAATTCAAGTAAAGCATGGTAACAGCCAACCTTTGTTTTTTTGATCCAACCTATATTCATATTATGTTTTTCGTTTGTTTTTGGGTTCAAAGGAGAGCATGCTGACCTTGTTCCTCTCGATCTCGGGCGGTGTCAGTTGGATTGAAGCCCTAGATCCCTTGAGAACCTTGGATATTGGGTGTGAAGGCCCATGTGGTTTTATGAGGAAACATGAACAGTGTTCAATACCCGGTTGATAAGTTGATGATTACAAATGACTATAATGGATTTATACTAAACAATATTGGGGAATATCACAATCCATTAAAGGAATCTCTATTAACCAACCCGCAGCGCAAAGCCCCGACGCAGAAATGGTCTGTCCTCTAAAATTTGTTGTGATTCTGAGCGTCAAAATGTTGGTTGTTGGTGATGGTAACAACAGAATGCACGTACAACAAAATATTTTTTAAGGGGGATTTTTATAGCCAGCAATATACGATGGTTTTTGGAAATAATGGGATATACTAGAATTTAATGTCATTTAATGGGCCATAGGCCTATTTATTGGGATATGTATAGCCTGTATAGCCAGCAATGTGATATGGATCTGTCCAAACGCTGGGGATTTATCTCAAGTTATGGCAGTTATGGACACTTTAAGGGAGTGGTTGTTGGATTTTTTTGAGTGACCTATTCTCACAGAAACCCATAAAACGCCTCTAAAAGGGATTCAGACATGGAAAAGTGAGAAACACTGTCGTGAACTTCGTGAATATCTGAAGACGAGAAAAATGGATGACCCAAGTCTCGCAGCCGTGTTGGTAGTGTGAATGCAGCAGCACATAGCAGCTCTCCAAGAACACTGGCCAATGCACACACCAAAATCGCTACATGTAGAGCATGTAATTGTTTGTTTGTTCATTCTATAGAATATGTTCAACCCCGTTGCCCCCTTGGGCCCAAAGATTGCCCGAATAAACCCGATTATTACCAGTATTATTATATCTATTACATCATAAAATAGTTGTTATATTGTCACGAAAGCTAGCTGAAGTCCCCTCTTGCTTTAGCAAGGTACTGGGGGGGCTGGAATGGTTCACAAGTAGTTGGACTAGTTTGGCCGTGGCGAAAAATCACCCCGGGTACACCTTCAGCTAGCTTTCCGGCCTCAGCCGTATTGTTTGATGGATGTTTTATGCACCAAAATCATCCAGAATCAACGCTTTGAAAAGACATGAAAGGACTGACCTTCAAATCTTCGCCCATCTTCGTCCTCGAAAAACTCAGGAACCATCTCAAGCCTTGCTGCTTTTGCCTTCATCGCGTATGTATTTGTGTCAATTTTTGCCATTTTGAACGCAACCTGACGTTGAATTTGGTGATTCATTGATGGTATCTTTGATGTGTTTTGATGTTTTTGTGGACGTTTTTTTTTGGGGATAAGATGACATATGCCAGAGCCTCGTTGGACAAACATACATTTGACAGAAAGAACTTCGGACCTGGGGTCAGTCGGATTGCACAGAGACCATCCTGATAGTGTCCATAGGTGCAGCATGGTGCAGCGCATGCTGGAACCGTGATGTGCATGTTTCATACAAACTGAGACGATTTGTCGCATTGGCTCCTAATTATTTGAAACTTCTTGAATGGTGCTGGATGTTCTGAACATTTCTGAAAACCGCCCGCGAGGTTGTCACCGGTGTATTCTGTGTCCGAGTTGCATCAAATTTTGAACAGATTGAACAGTCAAAATTTACTTTTTTGGGATGCGTTGCGATCTTTGGGTGACTTGCTCTTTGTTCTTTTTGGAAATGTAATCACAAAAGACACATCGTCCAATGTTGTTTGCCGGGGTATGTGTATGCAAGGTCACCGTGCTATCGAGAGTGCCCAAGCAGACAAGGACAATTTGCTGGTGTTTGACACAACATGATTAACACATAGTCGAAGTAGTCATGACATTCTGAGTTTCTACTCCATGTAGAAGGATTTGTACTGTTTGTTGATTTGGTGGATGCATGTAGATGCATCTCAAATGTCTCAAATAGTTTGCTGCAGGAGATAGCAATCATGAAACAAATGGAATGGAAAGAAGTCAGCTACGAGCTTTAAAGGGCGTGCCTTGGCAGATCTATCAAGGGACATCCTGAATATATCTGGATATCTATGGATATCTCGGATCTGAAGGCTAAGAAGCCTAGCCTTCCCAGCAAGCTGATGTTTTGCATGCAAAATTACTCAAAATTAGAGAGACTGTCCTGAGCAGTTGGCATCAGAATCAGGAGTCGCAGTTAATGCAACGTCGTAGTATGAATTGGCGATGTTTTCATGGCCTAACAAGATATATCTCCCTTTCGCAGTTGTTTGGCCAATGTTTAGTCGTAATTTTCATGTGCAACACATCGGAACACTATCTATTTGTCCTGACATCTCTCAACCTTAATCAAGCACTATTAAACAACTATCATACTAATTATAGCTGTTTCCCATCAACTCATTATATCTCATTATCATAAATCATAAATTACTATTATGAATCAACTGCTATCATATATCCCAGTTATATACCCATTATGAGTGTTTTGAACCTCTCCTGTCAGCAGGTCTTCATAGAAATTGATGATGATGGCTCAGAAACAATCACCTCGAACGAGCTAGAGGCTGGATGTCTTTGAGGGATATTCTCTTGCATTGATGGTGATGAAAAATTGTGATGTGATGGTGATTTATTACTGGTGATTTGATGGTGATTTTTATAATGCATTAGAAATGATTTTACTGCTTGGTTGCTGCGGGTTCCTGTCATGGATCATTCCATAGCATCAATAACCCCCGATTTTATCCAGGTACGGTAGTACAGGCGCCCCAAGACTGACATCGCGAGAGGCAGCCATGAACAAGCCTGCACTGATGCACCAAATGGAATCTATGGACATCTCAACCAGAGATCTTCGAACACTCTTCAGGCAAGAGGTACCCTCTGGTTATGTCAACAGTTGGCTATTGAACATGGTGATAGAAATAGTGGATTTACCCATTAAAAATGGTGATTTTCAATAGCTATGTTAGTTTACCAGAGGGTATTGCTCTTGGGAATCTCAGTTGTGGAATGCAATCGATAACAAGAGTAATGGGTTTAGTCTCGTTGAGCCAAAAGGATCCAAAAGGGCTCTATCTCACATATATCATCCCCTTCCAAACTAAGCTACATGTACATGTGATATCCATATTATCCATTGATATTCTATAATTGAATCAGGTCACCACAATTGAGTGCGCCCATTGCGCATTGTTCTCGGGATGGCTTGGGCGGCTGGGCATTAGAGTTTTGAAGTTGATGTGTAGAGCCAATGAATCGTCCCCAATACTACCATAATTTTAAATACATGGTTGGTAAAAACCATGGCGCAAATAGTAGTTGTTTATGCCTACGGGTTGGAAACCGAACCAGCGTTTTGCATGTTTCTATGTCTTTCATGGGGTTAACGGGGTGGGGTGGGGTGGGGTAATAACGTTCATTTGCACTGCCTGACATACATGATGCTACGCTGCTGTACGTCTTTTTGCACTTCCTCACATGCATGATGCTACGCTGCTGTACGTCTTCTTGCACGTCCTCACATACATGATGCTACGCTGCTGTACGTCGTCTTGCACTTCCTCACATATATGATGCTACGCTAGTGTACGTCGTCTTGCACTTCCTCACATACATGATGCAACGCTACTGTATGTCGTCTTGCACTTCCTCACATACATGATGCAACGCTACTGTATGTCGTCTTGCACTTCCTCACATATATGATGGTACGTTAGTCTACGTTAGTCTTGCTCAATGGCAAGATTCGCGCTTGGCAGTGGAGATGGGAAAACAGTTCCCACAAAAACCTCTCCAAGCTCACTGCAGAAATTGTGAAGAACACTTAGCGCAGAAAAAAAGAGAGTGCCGCTGAGGTTTTTTACATATCCAGTGAAAAGTACGCGCGTACTTCTTAAGGAAATTGAACTTTGAGAGAGATGCAAAACCACTGTGATTTGTGGTATGAAATCAATGACGAACACTGCAAACGTTGAAAACGCGGGTTCGATAAACAACCCGCCGGGTTGTTTGTGGCACTGGGTTTATCATACAAATGTCAGATCTTCTTTATGCAGATTGATCTGCGCACAAAATCCTATGCAACATGTCAAGTTCAAGTCATCTCAGCACATGATGGTGACTGGTTTGGTCATGCTGCGCAAGAACATGTAAGCGCTGTCCAACAAATGTTGAACGCGGCACTTCTTCTTTCCTTGACTTCATGCACGTTGGATTCCGCGTAAGTTGAGCAACGCTGCTTGTGGTGTAAGAACTCAATTGATCTATGGGTAGAGAGCGAGAGAAGATAGCAAACCTCTGCCAAAAAGTGTGCAAAAAGTGACGAACTTGCATGAACTTGCAGGGAAACTTGTCAAGCTATTCCACAGGGTCCAAGTCTTCTGAGACCTTGCTTGGTTTTGTGCTGAGGGCCTGGTTCAACATGTTTAACCAGTCCATTTGACCTTTGCCTGATCAATTTAATTCTGCCGAAGGTTTCAGACTTTATTTCTATACATGAGCCGCGCAGTGCCAGTGAAGACGGAGTGCAAAGGCGATGCATTAGTCATCTCCCAACGGTCATGATGCATTGGTATCGGGGTCGTTGGGGAACGGGTGGCAGGAGATGCTTGGTATCGGACGCTGTCCGTGCGCGCTTTAATCAGTGTCCTGTCCGTTCCTAGTGTGGGCGCTCGTGTGAGCGCGACAGGGCCGACATTTTTTTTTGCTCATAAACATCCAAACATGACGACAAGCGGCATCTGACTGCGTTATATGTTATACAACCGGAAACGTAGTGATTGCTTGTGTCGGTAGAATGGTGTAGACATGAGGGCTTGCTGCGAGTGACCGTCTCCACGGAGCCTTCATTGCAGTGGGACCGCTGCGATCTGCTCAGCTTAGATGAGACACATCTGAATGATTCTGAATGCTGTGGAAAACAAAAAACATGTTTGCAAACATTACAACCGAAAGCCAGCCGGTAGGCGAGGCCACAGTTGGGTTTTGCAGGCAAAGTCATATGTGGCAAAATCCAACTTCAATACAAGATTGAACCTTAATACAAATCTCAGGTGCATTTGAAGGTCGAGGCTAGATGGATTTGTGATGATTTGTGCATGAAATGGCAACCCCAGCCTAAGGGCAACAAAAAACAATAGTATTCCACGGGAAATTGTATACAGATAATCACAGATAATCACAGAATCTTCTAGGTATATCGACCCCGATCCACATGGATCCACCATATCACCACAAGGGGCTGCGATGGCTGCAGGATCATGGACTCTGACGGCAGCGGCGAAATTTCGTTTGAAGAGTTTATTGATGGCTCCTGGATCTTCAATTGCTACATGTTTTTTTTTCTCGTCTTGAGATTTGCTCGTTTCCAACATTTCCATAACGATTGTTAATTGACATGCTCGGATGTTTTGAAAAGGTTCTCCTTAAACTTTATTGGCCAGACTTTTTTCTGGAAGTTGCGCCCGAATGCGGTTATTTGCGCTCGATTGCGCTTATTTGCGCCCGAACTTGCGGCTAGTTTTTTTGCTCCAAATCGCTCTCAGATATTGGCAATGCTCGCTATTTCTGCTAATATATTTAGATAACGAGCCTGGATATATGCTCGAATGACCAAAAAGTATAAGGTGGCACAAACTAATGTAATGATTGAAAATGACTGAAAACCCAGGTTGTATGCATCTTCAAGGAACTGCTCAGAGCCTTCAGGCGCGGGACATCGCGGAATCTTTGTAGAAAGGATGGACAAAAATGGACCAAGGATGTTTGATGATTTTTTGAACCATGGATGTTTCACGTTTGAAGTTTGGTGATGTGGGAATGATTTTCGTTATACCAGTGGATTTGCAAAACATGACACACTGAGGTTGAGGATTTTCGGCGCGAGTTCCGGTTCTTGTGCAAAGACATTGCAAAAATAGGCTGGGCGGAATCGGAGCAGGGCCAAATGAAGGGAAATGATGTATTTGCTTCAAGTAAGTTGTGATTAACGATTTACTATGATTTACTTAACTTACAGTAATCACTCTGACTCTATTCTACAACATGTCTTTTTGGCGCATTCGAGCAGGTTGAATTTTGAGGTGGGAATGAAACGATTGAAACGTGGGTGTGGTTGAAAATAAAATGCCACCAAAATTTACTCTGATTTTTACCGTTTCAATAATTGTGGTGCCCTACCCTACCCCATGAACAGACGCAGCCATAGGTTCAGAGCTCTCACAAGTGCGAAGGCAGCTCTCTTGGTCCTTAACGCCTAAGGCGATCTAAGGCGCTTGACACATCATAGTCGTGGATTTGACTGGACGCGTGGAAGCACGCTTCCAGTCATTCCAGTCACGCAGAAAATCATATGGGGAAAAAAAGACAAGGCAGCATCGGCAGCATCTGGAAATATCTGAAATGTTGGGAGATCTATAGTTTTTAGGTGAACAGTATCACAGCAAAGATATGAGACAAAAAATTTGTGGCGTGGAAAAGGGGCATGTGTCATGCGGGTGTTTGATTCATCGGACGCTGCAATGGACTGAGGTTGAACCCAGAGCTGAGCGCCCATCTAGAGTTGGGTTGAACCTTCTGAAGCGGTTTCACAGCTCTTCATGCAGATTCAAAAATGATCAGCTGTTTGGGTCCCACCTGGCTTCGTCATTTGTTGATGTTTTGCTGCGGCTGAGCGATACAGAACTCGATGTCTCTGGCTGCGCACTGAAGCTCCAGGCCGCTTTAATAAATTACACGTCTCACAGACACAACTTGAGAGGTTTGACAACTGCTGGAATATGCTGGATTTCTTGATGGCCATGTTACCTTCATGAATATAAAAACTATAAAAACAAGACAAAGCGCCATGTTACCTTGCAGAGACTGGGAAAGGGTTCTGCATTGGTTTCAACAGAGCATAAATCTATATATGCAAATGTGCCTTTCTTCCCATATGATAGGTTGTTCGTGGCAGAACTCCCTTAGCCAAGAAAACATTTATGAGCCCTAGAAGGGTGACAAAATATGACAATACATCCCTTTCTTGTCTCGCTAAGCTTAAGTGCATGTAAGTCCTGATCTTGTCCAAGCACATGCCGTCCGGCCCCGAGTTGCTCGACGTTGGCTGATGAACGACAGGATCGCGGATTGGTGTAGGAAAAATGAAGAACGCATACCCTGTAAGACATTGCAAGACACTGGCGCAATAAGCCGATTTAGATACCTGACATTCCCCGACATTCCCTGTCACTGAGCGTATCCGACCATCTTGCTGGCCATTGCTGTTTTTGAGGCAAGGCCATCGGAGGTCCCAAACCTGGTGTAGAAAGGGTTGCGTTTTTTTTTTGCATCCGCTGTTTGCAATTTGAAACACTAGATTATCGGATTTTCATTGGATTTTGTTCATATGCATTCTGATGATGTATATATATATTATATATAGATAATAACATGTATGTGTATGTGTATATATATAATATGTATTACATTTGTAGTTTGTTCTGCAAGAAACCAAAGGAGTTCAGAGTGATGACCATGTTGTTACTTGCGATGCAGCCACTTGCCTCGAGCTTCAAGTCCTTGGCAGGACACAGCACTTTCGAAGGTGCATGTGGAATACTTCAGAACAGCAAAATGCAACGCAGAGCTGCACTGCTGCACCATTGGTAACCAGACTGTGGAACTGTGTAGCACGCTACAAATGACTTTTTGCATTTAAGCGAAGCAAAACACTGAAACACATCATCATTAACCATCATCAACCATCATCAACCAATTTCCAGTGGTGGAAGCCAAAGGCGCTTGCACCGCTGTGCACTTTGGGCGATCTGGAAGCTGCTGGGCCAGACTGGGCCACTTGGAGATCGCTATGTTGATCAAGTGGGTTTATGGGTATCCCGATGTATCCCGTGGGAAAGATCCATTGTTGCCATGGGGACCAAAGAATTCTGTCAAAGCAGCATTCAAGACCCATCAAGAACCACCCAAGGGTGGCCATGTGAACTGCACGGAAAAAAAACACTTGTGAAAGGTCGTTTTTCAACGTGCCATATCCATGAATGATGTGTCCTTTATCTGGCTAAGCTCTGTGCTGAACGGAGTTGTACTTTCTAAGCAATGATCAAAAAGTGACAGTTGTGGATGTTCGCAAGGTCCTGTATGTTTTCGTTTGGATCTGTGGTTGGTACAGATAGTGCAGATGGTGCAGTTTGGCAGTTTGATGTGATTTCCAGTTGTATATCCAGGTCTGTGCCAGGCAACTAGCATGAGTCGCGGTCTCACCCTTAACTTGTTTTAAGTTAAGCACCTGAGACTGGCACTGAAGCTCAAAGCTAGTCGTCCTTGGATGAATCATGGCAACATGATTCGGTACCAACCAGGCGATGCCCTGCAGCGCAACACACCAAAAACCATGCCACGTGTCATCAACCTGTTGGCTCCCCCAGCACCACCACAATGGCAACAACATATCCAACTCTCACAGCTCAAAAGCAACGCAGAGACTCTTGCAATCTTGCAATGAAAGGGTTGGACCATGACATCAAGATGAAATGAAGTTACATAAAGTACGAAGGACTGTCTTCATATCAACATCTCTGAACAATCCCCAGATGTGCTGGGTTGAGGGTACTAAGGTAGTAGTTGGTTGATATGTTTTCCGGTCTCCAAACTCCCCATGTCCATCCATGTCCCATGTGCGCATTCGGCCCAGGCCAAATCTCTGAGCCATTGGGCCATGGCTATGTACCGAGAAGCTTGTGTGGACATGGACAATCCCCATCAAGATGTGCAAGGTGATGCTCTGCGGGAAGAGACGCGGAAGCTTCAAAGGCCGGCCTCAGAAGGGTCGACCTGGTTTGGTGATGCGCTGGTTATATTCTCAGGCTTTGAAATTAGTGGTTGTATCCACGATTATCCACGTTTGAATGGAAAGGTGGAGCGATAGATAAGCGGTGCAACTCACTGAAGAGGTTGTCAGTGCATGTTCAAATCAAAGTGTTGCTATCCTGCGCTGGCAGCCTCATGGGGGAGAATCTGAAAGAATTGCTACTCTGATTATTGTCATCTGAAACACTCTGGGACCATCATGAAGTCTGAAGTCTGAAGTCTGAAGGTATATGGAGGAGCAATTCGCACAGCAGGGGAAGATCCTACAAGAGTTGAGGACTCAACTGCGATTCATGGTGCGCGACGAGGCGGCCTCAAGGCTCTCGGCGTTTCCAGAGATGGTCGAGGTCGGTGGCGACCTGGATGACTTGGCTCCCCTTGGAGTTTCCAAAGATTCGGATGAGACTTGTCCAGAGCAAGATGTTGGTCACAATGAGGAGGAGCCACCAGCCTGGGATCCCTGCTGGGATCCTGAGATGCGGGAAAAGCTGAAGGAACATCAACGCCAGGCAGCACGGCAGCTCCCTCTCCAGCTTCAGCAACTTCTTTCGGACATTTTTGGATCCCCTGAATCGCGCGGAGGTTTTGATTAAATCGAAACCTTAGGTATTAGGTAGGAGATATTTAGAAAAGAGAAGTTTGGGTATGAAATTGTAAAGCAATTTCAATATACATGTGCATAAATACCCTCCGGGGATGCGAGCATGAGGAACGCCGTGCGAGGCAGTCCGCGAGAGGGAGAGAGCAGTGCTCTGGTGGCCCTTGCCCGTGTGCCCGTGTGCCGGTGTGCCCGTGGATCGGGGTTGTGCGCGTGTGCCCGTGTGCCCGTGTGCCCGCGTGCCCGTGGATCGGGTTGTGCCCGGGTGCCCGTGTGCCCGGGCCAGCGACAGGTCCAGAAGGCCAGAAGTGACACGCTTGCAGGCAGTTGCAGTTTGTCTTTTGATTCCCCTACGGTAGGTGTAAAGGCAGGTGCCTGATCTGGGTGCTCCTCACTCTGGTCTGCAGCGTGTTACCTGTAAATTTCCGTATGGTGCGGCTCTTGTGACATGTTGAAGTGCATTTCGACTGCGCAGGCTCGCACAAAGTGTATGTCTGCGTTCTGGCCTCATGGGTCTTCCTCCTCAACATCCTCCTCCTCAACATCAACATATACTCAACATCAACACCATCATTTTCCTCTCCCTTGACACCAACTTCAATCGACTCCGCAGTACACAGCAGATGTTCCAGCTAGGAATGTTTGATTGGTAATCAAAACTTCCCAACTGGCATGTCATGACGATGTCCTAGGACTGATATGTGCCCGTGTGCCCGTCTATCTGTGTATTGATCTCTCTTTCTCCCTCTTTCTCCCTCTTTCTCCCTCTTTCTCTCTCTCTCTCTCTCTTTCTCTCTCGCTCCCTCCCTCCCTCCCTCTCTCTCTCTATCTCTCTCTCTTTCTCTCTCTCTCTCTCACTCTCCCTCTCTCTCTCTCTCTTTCTCTCTCTCTCTCTATCTGTATCTCCGTCTCCCTTTCTACTTATTGATTTGTCCTTATGCTTATGCATGTATATGTCTGTGTGTCTGTCTTTTTATCTATCTATCTGTCTGTCTATCTATCTATCTATCTATCTCTATCTATCTATTTATCTATCTAGCTGTTTGTCTGTCTGTGTGTCAACCGGTTGCCGCAGCGTGATGTCATAGCAGCATGAGCTCGTTGCCCGTCGTTGTAGACCTCGGTGTTTGTTTGACGTTCCTTCTTGTTGCATGACCATGTGGTTGCCTTGTTGTTTGCATGCAACTTTGTTCCGCTGTGCAGTGATGCCTTGATCTAATATTAATGTCGACATGCGGCGTTTCGGCGCTGTCTGCTGTAGATGGCATGTCGCTGTCCTTGCCGTGTTGTTTGTGTGCAGCTTAATGTCGTTGTTTTGCCTTGATCTTAAGTTAATTTCCACATGTGTCGTTTTGGCCCGGTCTACCGTAGATTCCTCGTCTCCCTTTCTACTTGTGGATTTATCCTTTTGCCTCTGTACCTATTGATCTATCTACCTATCTATCTATTTATCTATCTTTCTTTCTATCTTCTATCTTTCCATCTTTTCTATCTAATCTATCTAATCTATCTAACCTATCTAATCTATCTAACCTATCTAATCTATCTAATCTATCTAATCTATCTCATCTATCTAACCTATCCAATCTATCTAGTCTATCTAATCTATCTAACCTATCCAATCTATCTAGTCTATCTAATCCATCTAATATTTCTAATCTATCTAATCTATCTAATCTATCTAATCTATCTAATCTATCTAACCTATCCAATCTATCTAGTCTATCTAATCTATCCAACCTATCCAATCTATCTAGTCTATCATAATCCATCTAATCTTTCTAATCTATCTAATCTATCTAATCTATCTAATCTATCTAATCTATCTATCTTGCCTGGGTGCCCGGGTGCCGGTCGATTGCGCGTGTGCCCGGGTGCCGGGGTGCCCGTGTGCCCGTGGATTGCTCGTGTGCCCATGTGCCTGTGTGCCCGTGGATCGGCCGCGTGACGTGTGCCCGTGTGCCCGGAGGGCCGTGAGGAGACCTATCTCCCATGAAGGGTCTGTGGAGGGCAACGGCTGAACAGATTCCTTGGTCTTGGCTGTCCTGGAACTCCTGAGAAAAAATCATTTATTTCATGTTTTTTCCAAACAATAGTGTCAAACGAAATTCTGTGGGCTTGAGAATGCATGCTTTGCCGGACTGCACATCATTGCCAGGACTGCGAGATTGACCCCCCAACTCTCGCATAATGAGCTTCAAGTCGGGCACGGTGAGTGGCTTGTCAGGAGCTGGACTGCTGTCAGTTGCTTTCTTCCTGAATCTTCCTGAACTCCTGTGGATCAACATAAATGATCATAAATGTACCTCATGCACTTGTTTCATATCGCTTCCCTCTTGCTGTTTTCCCTTTCAAAATGCATACAAGATTGTTGAATGTTGTCGGCACAGCCATGCAAGTATGGGCCCAGGCAGTCTTGGCAGTTGCACCAACAATGAATTGATAGTATGACTGGTGCACTGCGATTTTGCTGCCAGGAGATATGCGTTTCATTTGGCATCTTCAGCGACTTTCCAAGCGTCCATCATGCTGCTGATCCTGTTGAATTTGATCATGCTGGGGATCGAAGTTGATGTTTCCTCATCATTGAAGCCCGACGATTCTTACCTGCAGATACTGACATAGAGATTAAACATGAAACAAAATCATGAAGGTTTTTTCCATTCAATCTGTTGCAGTACACTTTTGTTCACATAATATCATATCATAATATCATATGAATCTTAGGATGTTTGGGAGATGGACACCCTCTAGAAGTCCAGTCTTAAAACTCTCGGCTCAAAGCTCGTGACAACGAGTGTCATCATGCCACGCCACAGGAAGAGGATCCAGTGGTCTTCCAGGTGCTGAATATCGTCATTGTCATTGTTTTCATCTTTGACTCTCGGCACAGGAGACCCCGGAGACCCCATGGGCCGTGGACTCCTGTGATGTTAGCACGGGTGTTCAACACAGGCTGACTTGTGACAGTGACAGGCTGCGCCAGGCTGATGAATTTGAATGAAGTGAGCGAATGCTGTCCCAATCGAATAAATTACGATTCAGAAACTTTACCCGATTCAGCAACTCCGATTCAGCAACTCCGATTCAGAAACTCCAAGGATTCAGAAACTCCGGGTTGTCCCGATTCAGAAACTCCACCTTGTCCCGATTCAGCAACTCCACCCTGTTCCGATTCAGCAACTCCACCCTGTGCCGATTCAGCAACTCCACCCTGTCCCGATTCAGCAACTCCACCCTGTCCCGATTCAGCAACTCCACCCTGTCCCGATTCAGCAACTCCACCCTGTCCCGATTCAGCAACTCCACCCTGTCCCGATTCAGCAACTCCACCCTGTCCCGATTCAGCAACTCCACCCTGTCC